GGGGGGGGCAAAGGCTACCACTTTGGTACAAAACAACAGATTTGACAAGCGACCTTGAAAAACAAACGTGTTTTATTCTGGACGTCGTATTAAATTTGTCGAATTCGGTCGTATTGTGCAAAGATGGCAGCTTTTAGCTTTTTGCCACGTTCTCGAGGAAAAATCTGGCAGATCTCGACTCAGTCTAATACATTCTCACAATTACGACATTCGGTAGACTATCGACATCGGTGTCTGTGGTATAGAGGTTAGGCCCTTCACTGGCAAGCAGGAGACCCGAGTTCGATTCCTGAGTAGGGAAGAAATTTGTATTGACAATCTCTCGGATGCATTCCTCTCAGCTCACGTTGGTCCTGACAGGCAGAGGGGCATTAAATGTGTCAATGGAGGTGTAAAAAGTCTACATAAAAAAGAATACCGACGTCATCTGAACACCCCATATATCTGTCGTGGATGTTCCACTCTTTTTATTATTGATTTAAGACAAAGTTTTACTGCACTTACAACATAAATGGGTTATATTATGCGTGCCGAAGATTAAAGGTGTTACAAGAGAGAAACAAACACAAGACAGAAGGAGGAGAGATACGGATAATAGATGTTTGATACGAAGGACGAAGCAAACCACACCACAGCACCCACCAACCACCCACAAGTCATGAGACTTACTTGTGAGAGAGAAGGCGGCCACGAAGAAAAACAGTCCGTTCCAGCCAATCAGCGTCTTGAGAGTCTCAGAGAGGAACACACCCAGCGGGGCGATGAGAATCTGTCAGGGGAACACAGACAGTGTTTAACGTTTGTTTGTTTTGGTAAGAGTGTTACGGCGCTCATAACTGAAAAAAGTCAGAGAGAAACACGTGAAGAGGGGAGACGAGAATCTGCCTGGCCAACACAGACACAGACACAATGTTCAATGTCTTGGAGGGTGTTTTTTGTTTGTTTGTTCCTTTGTCCGTTTATTTGCTTTTTGCTAGTTCGTTCGTTTGTTTATTTGTTTGTTTGTTTCAGGAGAAACGGGTTTATCTTTTATTAGTTTTTTTGTGGGGGGGG